TGAAACCATTCAAATGCCAGGATATGCCTATTTTAGTAAAGGTAGTAGAAGTGTCTTATATTTTCAAGTGTATCATGTCTATAATGGGTAATAACAGTAAATAGTAAAAAAAGTGTTCATTTGTTGAGTGTTTTTTTTTTTTTTAATTGGCCATTTACTTTGGAGCTAACAAACCCATGTTACTAGGGCTCTTAAGTACCAGACAATGACCCTGTGTAAGTAAAGTAAAGATCCCTTTTTAAGGCTTTAGGCGCATCAGGAATATGGGAAGAGCATCCCATATTTTTACAGACCAATTGGCACTAGGTGGATAATGTGGCCAGCATTATGCCAGCTGTCTTTACTTCCCCAGGACAGCCATGTTAGGCTGGGTTGACCTGCGACGCCCTATACCATGAAACAAAATCCACACAGCCAGCAGTGGGTTTCGATCGTGGTTCGTTGGAATTACGAGTCGGACTCGCAATGCCTAAGCACGGACGCTGTGTGCCCCTGTGTGACTAGATGTTACTCATATTCACATCAGCATGTAGTGGATGTTTGAAACGTGAGCACTGGTCAATATGTAATAGTCAGTTAGTTAATTGAGAGATTATCCTCATTGCACACACATCAGACAAGTACTCATATCCTATCTTCAGTATATCCCCCGGTGTGCAGCCACTGATGACACCAGTTCTGTGATGGTTTACTATTCTTCTTTGGCTACCTGTACAGTGTTCATGTTTGCCGACACTTCTTTTGACCTGAAATTCTTAGCCTTTTGAATGTTGCTGATTCTGCGTTGTCTCCTGAATCGTCTTCTCGTCCTGCCTCCTTGAGAGCATTGAGAATGTCAGCCCGGTCCATTGCTTTTCTGTACTACCATCGCCCTACCAGCAAGCTAATCTGCTCATTCATTCCCTCTTACCCCAGAGTATCCTGGTACAAAAATGAAGCTAATTCCTATTAGATGAGATTTCCTCAGCGCCTTCAACCATTTTCTTCTAATCCATCCTGTCTCTGTCTTCTGAAGCATGCCTATGGAATCACTTAGCACAGATGGTAAAATAGCCGCATCACTTCTTTTGTTACCCCCATAGTCGGACTACTTGTAGTCGAGGCAAAAGTCCCGCTATTTTCTTTTTACAGTTTTCCCTCAAACCAGAACCATGAAAGCCCATGAACTTTGTACGTATTGAATGACGGATCCGTCAGCAGAATTTTCAAGAAGTAATGCTTAAACTTCTGCCTCAACCACCAATAGGCCTTATTGTTTGCAATCTCTATCCAGTTTTATGCAGACTGAAAGGGATGGTCAACATGTAATGGATGTTTTAAACTAATCTGTTGATTAGTCAGGGCATGCTTGAGCACTCCAGTAACACATTTGTCACCTGCCAGGAGGCTTTAAATGAAATCCTTGAAAGTGTGATAGAAATGTCAGTAATCATGCTATTGTTTTGTAACCTGTCTATATTGTTGTTAAGGAAGCCAAGGAGTGTTGAGCACATGGCATGTCCAGCTTTTTATTCTGCTGTCCACATTTAAACAGGGGGGGGGGGGTGGGAACAGAACCATCAGAGGCAGGCATGATGGCACTCTGCCTATGCACCTGCAACCTGCACAAGACCACGCAGTTTATCAGTCAATTTTAATTTGAATGAATGAACGAACAAACTTTATTTTCAAAAGGGTTACAAATTGGGCACTCAGGCCCATCTGACATTCGGCCCTTCTGAACTTCAGCCCTTCTGAGCACTCATCTTTCAGAGTAACAGAGTAATTTCAGACAAGAGGCTCAGCTTTCCTGCACCAGGCTTCCATCTCCATGGTATGGTCTCTGTTGGCACAGCAGCTCAACACCCACCTAAATTATCACATAAAGCATGAACTCTAGCTCCTGCAATAACCCCCAGTGATCCCTGAAAGACTTGCACTCATAAATCAAGTCCAAAGCTGAACCCACACACAACCTTCAGTTGAAGCAAACCACTTTGCTAAAGAGGAAGGCTCCATACCCGTCTCCTTTCCACTCAATGTCATTTAGTGATTTAAACAAATATTCATATGTTGGTACACATTGAGACAAATAAGACCTACCATAAAATGAGATAAATTTTATTGAAATTGAATAACTGTACATACATACATACATACAACAATATACAGGTCAGATGTATATATTTGGAAAGCCACCATGTTGTGGCGGCTAGATGCTAGCCTGCGGGTCAGAAGGTCATGGTTTCCAAAAATGACTTTGGCTTCCAGGTTGTGCCATCCTTAAATGGATACCTGGTAAAGTCCTGACAGGTAAAGATGGCCAGTGTAATGTAGATCTCATCACCCAGAAGGTGCTGATTGGTTTATCAAATATAGTAGCACTATATGCCTAACTGAAATAAGAAACAGAATTGGACAGGCAAAAACTGCATTTTATAAAATAAAAAACATCTTGTGCAATATATCCTTGTCATTGAGAGTTAGAAAAAGAAGTCTCGCTTGCTACATACATCCAGTTTTAACATATGGATGTGAATCCTGGACAATCGGTAGGCAGGCCAAACAATTTTTAGAGGCCTCAGAGATGTGGTTTTTACAGAAGAATGCTTAGAATACCTTGGACAGCCAAAAAGAGCAACCAAGAGGTTTTGAAAGAGGCGGGAGCCCAAAGACATCTTATCACAGACATCAGAAGGAGACAGTCATAATTTTTCGGCCATGTTATGAGAAGAGGGAAAATAGAACATGTTGTGACCACTGGAAAGATCTGTGGAAAAAGGGATAGAGGAAGACAACGAGAGAAGATGCTTGACAGTCTTGTTGCATGGCATATAGGTGTGTCGGCACCCAAACTGATACATGCTGCAGGAGATCGCAGATTATGGAGAGGCATGATCGCCCACGCCAGTCGGCAAGGCACCTGATGATGATGATATGCCTAAAGGCGTGGAAAAGGGTCCTTTTTTTATATACAATATCTAAGACTGACCTTGGCTCCCAGGTCGACCCGGCCTAAAACAGGTACCAGGTAAAGTGCTGGCAACTAAAAGCGGCCAGTGTCTTCTTCTTCTTTTTGTTCGCGTTCACCGACTGTAAACTTCTGCAGAAAGTGTTATTGGTTCATCCACCACTGGACTTTAGACTTGCTCCTGAACCTAAGTTGTGTGCACATCCGTTTTACAGATCAGACTTATTTTTATGCAGACTTTTGGTCCTTGCCTCTCAGGCAGATGCACTCTGACTTCGAAGGAAACCCCCAGTTGGTTAACTCTTATGAAATGCTTGTTGTCTAGCCAAATATGTCTAGTATCTTAAACATGTGAAAGGGGTCTGTTTCTTTTCTGTATATATAGATATATGTGTGTGTATAAATATGTGTGTGTGTGTGTATATATATGTGTGTGTGTGTGTTTGTGTGTGTGTTTGTGTGTGTGTGTACACACACACACAACACACACACACACACACACACTTTACTTATGATGTACAAAGTATCCGTAACCCAAAAGAGTTATCGCTTAAGTAAAAAAAAAAATTTCAGTAAAGGTCCCTTTTTTCACACCTTTAGGCATATAGGGCTAGACCTATATTTTTTATAGATCAATCAGCACAAGATATGTGATGTGGTCAGCATCATGTTGGCCGCCTTTACTTCCCAGGACTGCACCTGGTACCTACTCAAGACTGGGTCGAACTGAGAGCCAAGGTCATATTTTTTTTTAAAGTCCGACTCCGCCAGGGAGCAAACCCACGACCTTCTCATCCTCGACGAGCGTCTAGCCGCTCCGCCACGGGGTCTTTTTTAAGAAAAAGCAAAAATACATATTAATTAGAAGCATTTGCTGGGAGCTACTATGGCGTAACTGCTGGACCCCTCGCCTACTGATCAGAAGGTCATGGTTCTGGGTCGTCATGGGGACAGATTGTTTTCAGAAATGACGTTGGCTCCCAGGTCAACCCAGCCTGAAATGTGTACCAGGGAAATAAACGTGGCGGTGTGGTACTGACCACATCACTCACCGAGTGCTGAGATCTATAAAATATGTCTAGCCCTATATGCCTGTTGGTATGGAAAAGGGTTCTTTACTTTACAAGTAGTTACGATTTGTATACAAAATCATTCATCTAAAGCTTATATGTACATATTTACAAATAGAAAGTTTTTTTTTTTTTCAAAGTAGTGTCTATTTCAATAACAAACGGCTGGTTTCAACTTGAAGAGTTATTAGATTATAATTACTGCATCGCTTTGCATGCCGTCCGAATTATTTGGTCTAGCCCCGTTTTTTCGGTGTGTTCCCTGCCGTCCCATACAAAAATTCTAGGAATACGCTTGAGAATTAGACATATATATAGTTACAGACAATATGTTGTATATACCATAAACTAACCATTTTTACTTTCTGTGGTTTATATTATTTTCTGTGCCTTCTGAACAGTGGACATCCCATACCATTGTTGTAATCAATGAAAAACAATCATCAAACCGGATATTTCAGAATTACGAGCCACATTTATACTTGTAAACTACAAACGCTGACTGTCGTAGTTCTTCTTCTTCTTCTCTTCCACCTTGTACCTCATTGAAGTGTCAGGGAGAGTTCTAATGTTCGTTGTAGAGCTCTGTCAAGAGCACTATTAAGACTGATGTTCATTTCTGTAAGACTGTTCTTAATGCCATCACTCCATATTTTTCGAGGTCTTCCACTCGCTCTATACCCGTTGTAGCTTTTTAGTGTGGCTCGCTGTGGCAGATAGTACCAGGGCATTCTTGTTAGGTATCCAAACCACTTTATTTGTTGTTCTTTAATGACCTGTAAGAATTGCTTTATTCCTAGCATTTGTCTGATTTCATGATTTTGTATTATGTCTTTCCTTGAAACTCCTGCAGCTCTTCTGTCGTAGTTGCGTGCGTTTATACGCGCATAGCATGGAACTAAAAAAAGGGGGCGGGATAAAACCATAGTTGATGTTTTGCTGTAACAACTGCTGTTTCTCATGCTTTACTGTAACAGTGACTAACGCCTAAGCTCCAGAGATTTAACATACTTGGTCCAGCCCAGACCACTTGTATTTTTCCCATCACTGTGAGAAGCACAATGAGGGGCGAAGGCGTAACAAACTTCCCCTTTACCGATCAAGTTTATGGAACCCCCACCTGCTCCGGGGCATGTGGGTGTGTCATAAGCTAGAAAACAGCCAATCAGCTCAACTCCCTCCTGGGTTGTCTTGACATCACCCTCTTCCTGAATAGCCAGAAGCCTGCCTATGGAAACGCATTTGGACATCCCATGAGGGTGTGAAATTAACACAACCATTGGTTCATGGTTAACCTCGGTTGACAGAGAGTTCTGTATCAATCGCATTCGTTCATTCCTGGAATTTGATAGCCGCTGGAACAAGGTGAGGTCATGAGTCCTGCACTCAATAACCGATCTATTTCTCTGAATGTCTATGTGACTGACCCTCTCACCTCTAGCGGTTACCACGGCAGTGCTATCGCTGTCATCGTCTAAGAAAAATTTAATAAACGTGCTCTGTGCCTCGGCATCATCAAAAACAACGTGTGCAACAGTCATCACCTTGAAACTGCCGCTGACTTTATGCGCGCCCTCTATTTCACCACAGTAGCAATCTTCAGTGTTCTCCATGTTCATAATGAAAGCAGTACCGCTACCTATGCGCACCTTGGTTGTTCCTCTCAAGTCTTGAAAACCAAGCTCCTCCGGTCTGTTGTTACTTGTATAGGACACAGAAATGTGCACGGTTTCCTCGCCCTTTAGTCTGAGGAATCTTACCCAGTTTTCGGTTCGATAAGGGGGAGGCAAGTGATGGGGTTGAAGCTTACCAACAGGGATAAATTCTTTGTGTCCTGGATGCTTCTGGCATTCTATTGAGTGCAGCTTTGAGGATGCTGAAAATAAAATAAAAAATCATATATTTTTGTTATTTATTTAAGCTCTCTCAATCCGAGAAGTTCTTGCTATGATGTATTCTTCTTCTTCTTCTTCTTCTTCTTCTTCTTCTTCTTCCTTCTTTCTTCTTCTTCCTCCTTCCTCCTTCCCCCTTCCCCCTTCCTCCTTCCTTCTTCCTTCTTCCTTCTTCTTCTTCTTCTTCTGCTCTTAAAAAGGGTTTGGCATTTCATGATGGTTTACAGCTAGGCTACAATATCTGCAAATCGATCCAACACATCCGGTTTCAGCAAATCCTTAATAGGTCACCGTTTGTTAAAAGGCAGTGTGTCCATACATGTCCCCATATTGCGAGGCCTCGGAGCCCACATAGAAAGAACACTTTGCATTCTATAGTTTGTGTGCTTCTCAGTAAAACAATTTTATTTAGTTTTAAGAGAACGACTGTAGAACAGAAGGTGTGAAAGTAACGACTGACATATTCCAATGGGTAACACACACAGAGAGAAAAAGGACACACAAAGTATATCATGTGCATTTACAGCTCGCTCTTCAGATAGAACAGTCTAAGAAGCCAGTGATGCCTTCTCCACGACATCCAGCAGCAGAACGATGGAGGTAATGGCGGTGACACAAGCTTACATGTGGCTACCCTATAAAATCACAGGACTATTCCCGCGTGTGTGTGCTGAGTGATTCTATAAGCCTGATCCAGCGGGTCGAGGTAGGTTCGTTATGCATACAGTGGATTGAGTCATTGCAAAACTCTCCTGTGTTTGCAGTTACCTTCATATTTGTCCCAGGTCATGCAAGTTTTGCTCGTAATGAAAGAGCTGATAGACTGGCAGGTTCCGCATTAACTGCAGATATCCGGCCCATGGATCAGGCATATATTGTCAATTCCCTTAGGACGTTTCCAGGATTTTGGAAGCACCGTGTCCACATCACTGCTAAGAATCGAGAACTGCGAGTAAAGATTGCCACTGCCATTTATGAGAAGCACATCTGACGACGAAGTCTTGTCAACCAGCATAAGACTGGCACTTTTAACGGCACGACGCTGATGAAAGGTTGAAGGGGGAATCTGAGCACCTATGGGTGTTTCCGGAGTGCTGTGAAGATATTCCAACTCATAACTCATTTAATGAGCAGAATATCAATAAAGTTATAATGAGTTACCTGTTGTGCAATTTATACGATACACGGGGGATTAATGTTGATTCCTCTTTTTCGCTTTTAAAATGGTGTATGTAAATCAGTCTTGCACCTCTAGCCCCCCCCCACCCCCCCCCATCGATGACCGAGTCACCCATTGGCTCACCGGTAGACGACTTCGTCGCCAGTCGGGACAGCATTTGGGTCTGTCTCCTTAGATCGCATCAACACTGCAGGAGTCCTTTTCAGGGCTTTTGGTGGCGAGCAATGCTCAGCCATTTTTCATAGCGCACATAGCCTAATCACAATTATAACCTAAAGCTCCCCCTTCAAGGATGCTGGCTGAACGCAACGATTTTTTTTTCTAGCAAAGCATCTACTTACATCTGGCCTCCCACGTCAACTTTCATGGTCGAGTTTCTCTGGGGCATCCCTGTTTGCTAAAGCCATGTGTTTCCCCGCTGGATTCTATACGACAGTCAAGCGTAAGCTCGTTTACGACATTGCTGAAAGTCGACTTCATGTGAATGCTGAACACATTAAATCATGTCGGTCACTGATCGATTTCATTGTTAATTGACACGCCAAATATTGTTTATTTTTCTTGAGATGTCTAACTTTCTCTATCTTTCTAGTTGCATAAATACTTCCAGGAGCCTTCTTTTTGTCATCCTTATCCTCTTCTTCTTCCTCTTTTGCATTCGCTTAAAAGGCCTTTTTTACCTTGTATGGTAGCCTTAAATAGACATATGGCATGTTTTGTAGTAATTTACAGCTAGACAGTGATATCTGCTCCTTTTGATCCAAGCATTGGATGTTAGCAAATCCTTAATTAGGCCATGACCTACTAAAAGTAGGTCGTAATAGCCACCTTTTCTTGTATGTTTAAGAAGCCATAAACTAAAGTGTTGATCATCAGTATGTAGAGGACCTTTAGCAGAAACACAATAACCATCGTGGCCCGTTGAAAGTACTCTCAGCTATAAACATGGGACTTAAAGCCCGTTGCGATGGCCAGTGTAACTAGCAAGACCCGCCCGCGTTAGGAAAAGTCATACACAATATAGCATGGGATTTGAGGGCCGTTGTTGTCATTATTTGTGTTTAGTCTGTTTCTTCTCAGACGCTCAGCTCTCCTCCTTTCTGCGATCTTTATCTCCTTCATTCTCATTCTTTTTCTGGTATACCCCCTCCACACAACACGGCACAGGGCATTGTTAATAAAACAGATACCATTACATATATTGAACCCCCAAATCTGACTGCTGACTGCTTTGTAACTCGGGATGACGACATAATTGTTTTACGGGCAAATGGAGCTTCTGGCATTTGCTCCTGTTTTATTCTCATCCCTAAGGTATTAATCCTACAGACTTTGATTTGTTTTAATTTGATTCAAGAATCGACATCACAGCAATCGGGGCATTCCCATAAGAGCTCCGTCCCCATCTTCAGCTGCCAGCGAAGAGTTCCGATGCTAATGATGCCAGTAGCATTCTGATTAAACGTCCGTCTTGCCTTTTCTCTGAGCCTCGAGCATCTGCCAGAACCTCTTGTCCCTCCCCGCTGCATCAATCTCATCAGACCGTGGTGATTCATCTACTCCTCCGAACTGTACACGCTCTCCTACAAGGCACTAACCACGTCTGCCTTATCGTGTATCAGTATTCCACCAAGTTGTGCAGAGCCTGTCAGTCTGTCCGCCTGTTCATTTCCCAACACACCGGCGTGCCCCGGTGAAAAAAATCCAGACAATACTCCTCACCCGTGTAATCCTACAGACTGCAATTCCTGAAGAGGAACAATGACCACCCCCGACACACAACACATGGTACCTACCTGCTCTCGCAGCGTTGTCTTCATTCTGACGGGTCTCTGTGCTATCATCATCTGACCGGTGAGTAGAACCACCCAATAACCGTCCGCTACTGATTTTTGACGTCCCGTTTGTCGGACGGAGACTGCTCGTCGCTTGTAACCAAGATCCATTCCCACGTCCTTCCGAACCATCGTTCTGAATATCGCTGTCATTGCTGGAGTGGGACGAGCTTGACCCACGACTGGATTTTCTAGTACGGTCCTTTTTAAAAAAGGACATGGTGGCAGGGTAGCCGAATCAGACCTGAAACAAGAATATACTGATAGATATAGATAACATTACAATGTTACTAACATAGGCGAAGCTTTTGATATCCAAGTTGAAACCAACGCAAGGCGGTCTACTGCCAAATCGCCCGGAATTAACGAAACCTAAAACCACAGACACCGTAAAAACAGATTAAAGTGCTTCATGTCACTGCGAATTTATTGCGTTTCAAGTTATTTTAAACACAATAAATGGTATTTATTTACAAAATCTGTCTTAATTGTTTTTTACGTGTACATAAGAAAAGATACCCCCATCTCTTCTCCCCCCCCCCCCCCCCTCCCTAACCAAAAAATAAAGCACGGTTGTCACTGCATCTTGCTATTCATTGGATTACATTTGTAGATTTCCAAACTGGCACCCACGGCAGGGCTAACAAAAAGGACCCAGACATGTTCAGAAAAAAAAAATATTGGACGTGGACGTGCACTGCATTGCCAATTACTTCCTTTACACTTTGTGCGGGGGGAGGGGAGGGGTGGTATTTGGGCCTGAGGATTTAAGGCTGCATGTCCGGGCTGTCGTCACGGTCTGTACAGGTAATAATTCTATGTTTGCCCCGACAGAAAAAAATCCCGATACTTACCGAGAATTCGAACCTGGGTATCCCGTTGAAAGATCGTTCGGCCAGCCGCTCCTAATAAGCCAAAACTACTGGCTCAACAAGCCATTCTTCTTCTTCTTCGATCCTTCTGTCAGAAAACTTATATCAGGAGGCCGGTAGCCTTTATCAAAGCTATCGTGCAATCCATATCCTCTCGTGTACCATACAGTTTTGTCTTCAGTGTGGTTGGAACAGGCCAGATTGCGTCTCTGTTGTCAGCATACAGTTGACAGTGTTCGAGCACATGCTCAGCATTTTCAGGTGCCACGCTGCAGGGACATATCTCCGTATTTCCTACACCAAAAAATTTGAACATATGTTGACGAAATCTGTTGTGCCCTGTCCTTAGTCTGAATATAATAGACTGTCCCTCTCTAGAGAGGCGATGAAGCGAGTCTTGGGGAGAAAATCTGGTGTGGGTATCCAGCCACCTTTCTTGGATACTAGACTGTATTAATGTTTTCATCTCTTGGTGGGTTAAGTCACTATTTGGTTGTACCATGTCACTGCCGCTTCTGGCCAATCTGTCCGCTATTTCATTGCCTTCCAAGCCACAGTGACCTGGAATCCACTGCAGTACAGATTGTTCTACCGAAGAGTAAATCGACAAGCCATTGAACTTGGCGCAAAACGAACAACAGCCTAATTGTAACTGACCTTCATCAAGGTTAACCATGGTCAAATGTTGTTGTTCACCAAATCAACAACAAAAATTGATAGTCTTCTTCTTTCTTCTTCTTGGTCTTATTTTTCTGAGTTCGCATGAAAACAGGGTCGGCGTCTGTGGCTAAGGCGTTGCGCACGCGCTTCGTAATGCCGGGGTGCCGGGTTCGATCCCAGCTGCTGGCCTTTCGAAAGTGGTATCGAGAAGACGACCATCCCAAAAAAAAAGCAATGGCAAACTACTAGACGTCAATTTGCCTAGAAAAACCACAACAGCCAATGCTGGTGTTGGTTCTGCAACGTCCTGTAAAGGATACGCAACATTTAAGACAGGTGGTTGGTACGTTGTGACAGTTTACAGCCCAGCTGCAACATGTGCGCCTTTTTTCAATCAACCTTTCATAAGCTGGGTTTTTGTTTTAAACGTCATCTTTTTTATAGGGTGGTGGTTTTACCACGCCGCATCCCCCCCCCCCCCCCCCCCATCAATAGGAGCCACAGAACCCACATGTGGAGACACTGACCGTGAAACAAAACAAATGAGTATCACAAGGTACACACCCGCGACGTGAAGAACATGTAATAATGTAAAGATCAGCTGTTGCCGTGAGCAAGCTAAGTTAATCAGTCGTCGATCGGGTGACTCTAAGCAAGGCTGCCAATGCTTGGCGTATTTCCTGGTTTCATATTTGCCGTAGTGTTTCCTGTGTTATGTGTCCGTTAGCCCGGCTCTCTAGCGTAGTTGGCTAAACCGGACTGTGCGGTGACCGGGTGACGAACTCCTTGTGGTCCGGGTCACTCCCGGGGGTAGGCAGAAAAGCCAAACTTTCTCCCAGATTTACGGTACCTATCATGGAATCAAGGCCGAAGGGTTGCGATATCCATATTATTGAGCCAAAGGGTTAACAACTCATGGCTTCTGGATATTTAAAAAAAAAATGTTTCCGTTACATTTCTTTAGCAGTAACATTTCGTTTCCGACTATATACTTGCTTGCTATGCATGTAATAAAATATCGATACAGGGTATACTACTACTTACCACTACTTCTGGCTTTATGCAATAACATATCATTAAATATTACATATACAGATTAGCGAATGCGGTTAACAATTTCAAGACCCTCGAGTACCGTGGTTCGTTCCCCGCGGTGAACGGAGAAAATCCATTCTCGTGGTTTTCGGACAATAGTACAAGAGTCGCGCCGTGGAAGAGATTGGGGCCTCACCCCTTAATACTCCCAAAGACAGCAGTGGTGCACTGTAGCCAACCTTCATTGTGGAGATGGCACAGACAGACACGTGTTACATAATCCAGAACAGGGCTATTTAACTAAATTTACTCAGGGGCCAATATTAGGAAAATAGGGATCATCACGCGGTTCACTTGCTAGGCCTCTGCAAGCCAGATTTGGCCCGCGGGCGGCCAGTTGAATAATCCTTATCCACAGATATTGGCAGCTAGCATAAAATAAAATGACGATATAGGCAAAATATGAAGAAATATGACAAATATCCAGGCAGTCACTTGTATCAACAGTTATAAGAAAGAGAAGACAGCGCTATGTATGATACAGTTTGAGAAAAGATAAACAGAGAATCACAACACAGGCACTCAAATGGGAAACAGGGGGACAGGAAACTAGGACGTCCAAGAGAAACCCTAAGGCCAACTCTGACGAGAGAAGCCAAAAGTGCCAGACTGGACTCCATCCATGATGTCGAAGTGATGACTGCACACGATAGAACGTAACGGAGAGCATACGTGTGCGCCTGACGGGACATATAATGGCACAACAAAACACTAAACAGGCAACATAAGCTACCACAACCTCTGAATACTTCTGGCGATCTCTCTGGCAAACCTCTACACCCCAAGGTAGAAGAGAAGCGACTAAACAGATAATCAAGCACCCAACCTCTGAATACATATAGCACAGGCTTGTAAATATATAAACACCAATAGTCACACGTACAAGCTCCTTGAGTTATGATAACACGTTACGTGTGTATTCCACTTAGGCCTTATAAATAATACGGGAAAATGCAACAGGCCAGAACAAAAATAGACTATAACTGTTGGTAGCTGACGTCCCCATGATTGCGTAATACTGAACACAATGCTGACGAAATATGGCGTAAAAATATTAACTCTTACAGCTATAAACAAAATTAGATTTCTAAGATCATTCATGCATCTGTCCCATTGCAACATACACTTGTGAGACCTGGTCACTTACTAAACACGCTGAACAGCGCATAAATGCCTTTGAATACAAATGTTATAGATGGGTTCTAAGAATATCATGAGTACAGAAAAGAACAAATTCATCTTTACTTCAGAAACTGAATATCGAAGAAGGTTGGCTATTAAATACGATACAACACAGAAAATTGAAATATTTTGGTCACTAGTAACATCACGAAAGTTTAGAGAGTACAATTGTGGAGGGGTAAATGCATGTAAAGAGAGGAAGAGGAAGGCCAAAGAGAAGATCGGTGCAGAATGTAAACTTTAGATTAACAATATTTGAATCTAAAAAAGTTAACATTACAGCACGTCTTAAATGAGTAAAGTATCAATGGAGGTAGAACATATTCATGTAAAAAAAACAACAACAACAACACGAAAAGAACAAACACAATTTTAAAATATGTCCCGGGTTATCAATATAGGCACATGCCCGGTTGCAGGGACTGAACAGAGTTAAATTACAAAATAAGCGTACATCAGTTATTAATGTGGGGAATTACTGCGTAATTAACTTCAAAACTAGAATATAAATAGCATGCTGAGTAGTGCTTCTTTACCGTAACAGCATCTTAGTCATGAAATATTTGACGATACTGATACGTAGTAGCTGTATTTATTTTCAACGTATGTGAATCACAAAATAGACATATCATAACCCGTATGTGAATCACAATATAGACAGATCGCAACCCGTATGTGAATCACAATACAGACAGATCGCAAACCGTATGTTTCCCAATTGATAAGAAATTAATTGGCGGAAATGTCCAGACATTGCGCAATTACTTTATAATCACAACAGACATAATGGGTTTTAAATCGCGACTTACTCCCGCAATTTGTGTCATTTTCGACAGTTAGTAAGTAGAGTACGTAAACAGGTTTTTTTTTTAAAAACGCCAGTGGCGTATCCAGACAACAGTTATAACCTATACTGCTCGCAGTATGTTGAACGTGATCCATTTTTTGTTTTGTTTTTCATGAATGGATGGATGGTTAATTATTGTTCATATATATATATATATATATATATATATATATATATATATATATATATATATATATATATATATAACACACACACACACACACACATATATATATATATATATATATATATATATATATATATATATATATATTAAAATTTCTTCGGCCTTGATTCCATGATAGTTACCGTAAATCTGGGGAGAAATGTGGCTTTTCTACCTACCCCCGGGAGTGAACCCGGACCACAAGGAGTTCGTCATCCTTTTTTTTTTTTTTTCATTTAAGCAAATGTTTAATAACTTTGTGACATGGCAAACCAAAATAAATTACTTCTTCTTGGCCACACCCACAGTTCGCCCTCGCCTGCCCGTGGTCTTGGTGTGCTGCCCTCTGACACGAAGGCCCCAGTAGTGTCTCAGACATCTGTGGGCACGGATCTTTTTCAGTCGTTCAAGATCTTCACGGAGTTTATTGTCAAGGCCGTTACTAAGCACCTGAGTAAACCGCCCATCCTTAATGTCCTTCTGTCTGTTAAGAAACCAGTCTGGGATCTTGTATTGGCGAGGGTTCGTCATGACTGTAACAATGCGCTCCACCTCCTCTTCTGACAGCTCTCCAGCTCTTTTCCTGATGTCAACATTGGCCTTCTTGCACACGACAGTAGCAAATCTGCGACCAACACCCCTGATGGATGTTATGGCAAAGGAGATTTTCCGCCGGCCATCAATGTTCGTGTTCATAACACGAAGAATGTGCTGGAACTTTTCTGGCAGAACTAGAGCCATCATCCGGTCGCCGCGCATTCAGGTTTACCCAACACATTGCTGAAGGTCAGTTACATTTAGGCTCTCGTTCGTTTTGCGCCAAGTTCAATAGCGTAAATGGTTTATATATATATATACACATATATATGGGAGCACCAATAACGTTTTAACACATGGAAAAGAAGTGGTCAAAGGGCAAAGTTCGTGACAAGCTCAACAACTTGATCCTCTTCGACAAGGCCACTTACGACAAACTGTACAAGGAGGTGCCCAGCTACAAGCTGATTACTCCGTCTGTGGTGTCTGAGAGGTTAAAGGTCAGGGGCTCCTTGGCCAAGCAGGCACTGAGAGAATTACATTCAAAAGGGTTGATTCACTTGGTGTCCAAACACAACTCCCAGTTGATCTACACAAGGGCCACCAAGGGAGACAAGGATGAAGCACCAGCAGAAAAATAAACAAACAGAAAAAGCTTAGACACAGCAAAACTTGTTCTGAAGAATATGAGTTAGTAAGTGTTTTTTCTTAATTTAATTTGAATGATAGACAATAGAGTACATTGTGGGAATTAGAGAAGTCACCTGCCGAAGAGGCAGATTGGAAGAAATGATGCTGGGTGGTCTAGTTGTTATGTAGAGCAGAAGTGAGTGTTGATCCTGAACACCAAGGATCTAGGTCCGAGAGCATGTATACCTGCACTATCTTGTGAGACACACACACACACACACTAATGTAATAATAAAGTTCACAATGAAACCTAAAAAAAAAAAAAAAACAAGCATAGAGGCCCCATGTTTATTTGCGTATGTTAAAGTGACCATATACATTTGAGTAATGTGAGTGGTTGTCGTAGGGGCCACTGCACACTGGTTTGCCCAAATGCACATAGAGGAAGGGGAAGAGGCACCAAAATATTTTAAGTGCTTAGGGAAGGAAAGGGACATCAAAATCTTTTTAAGTGCATAGGACATCATAGGGTCTTAATCCGGCCTTGGACAAACGTAAAAAAAATGCAGTTAAAATGTGGAACAAACTTCTAAACATGTCGTTTTCTAAATACTGCCAAGTGAAATAAAGGTACATACTACGAAAATCACATTATCTCGTCGGGTGCGAGATTTATCACAGGCGGTCCTATGTTCTAGGGGTGTCAAGTTTTGTTATTTTCAACGTTAAAAGGATTATATATTCCCCGTTGTGAGCGGCCAGCACGTTCTTTTTTTCCACGTTGTAGGCGACCAGCACTGTGTATGTTACTTGCATTGTACGTTCGCACTTCATCGCTATCACTGCTGCCTTACTTGGTCAGTTGACCCAGGGCCCACCCTAAAATGTCAGAATTTCTCAAGCCAGTGACGGTTGCACAAAAGACCTAGTTGACAGAGAAATTAAAACTAGTTGGAACACTTGCTCAATTTCGCCTGCCACGAAAGAAAGCTACACGGAAGCCGCTTTTCCATTCGGTGTGTTTATACAGCGAAGGAACGCATTACCTAACACCCCTACAGCATACGACAGCCCGTGGGAATCGCCACTGCATGATGGATGCCGGCACGAAATCTAGTGCCCGACAAGATAGGGTGATTTTTGTGATATGTACCGCAATAAATACTTCTGGTCGTCCCCACTACCAACTTTTAACACACAAGAACAGGATGGCGACACGTTTCTCAAAGCTTAAAATTAACGAGTTACGAGCTCTGTACCCGGCATGTAACCTGCCGGTTAGCATTCTTTTGACCAGGAAGTATATTCTTTTTATTAGTGTGTCCCCGTGACTACTGTCCTATATCATCATCAAGTGTCTTGTCGACTGGCGTATGGTTCATGCTTCTTCACACCCTGTGATCTGCAACAGCATATATCAGTGCATGTGCTGACACCCTTCCATGCCATGACAAAAAGTTGTTAAGAATGTTCTCTCGGTGTCTCCCCCCTCTTCTCTCTACCCTCTCGCTCTCTCTCTCTCTCTCTCTCTCTCTCTCTCTCTCTCTCTCTCTCTCTCTCTTTTTTTTTTTCCCCCAATAAACCTGAGTTAGTTTTATCTTATGTTTCTGTCACCTGTCCGTCTTTCTAGACTAGAGTGTTATAATGTGCCACAGGTAGGTCTGGAACCCCATCCCATGGTGACGGCGAGCGCGACCACCAAGACCCTCTCGGGATTAGTAAAGTCTTTCACAATTACAAATATTTTCCCCTGGATATGTCGGTGTGTTGGGAAATGAATAAGCGGATAGTCTGGCTGCCTCTTCCCAACTTGGTGGAATACTGATGCATGATAAGGCAGACGTGGTTAAGGCCTTATGGGAGCACGTATTTAATTCGCAGGAGCAAATGGATCACCACAGTCTGGTGACAGTGATACAGCGACGAGTTACGAGGGGATCTGGTCGATACTCGACGCTCAGAGGAAATGCAAGACGAAGTATAATCAGAATGCTACTGGTACGATTGGTATTGGGACTCTGCACTGGCTGCTGACAATGGGGACGGAGCGCAAAACGAATAAAAACAATCACACGGACATACAATACATTCCATAAAAGAGAGAAGTATTTATAATCACTAAAACATACTGTCACCACGTACAATGTTTATCTTGGGCCACAGTTCACCATTCAATAACAAATAACAATGAATACATGAAAAGTTTCTTTTATATTTATACTAGCAGGTAGTGAAACCTTGCTAAATATAACTAACCAGAATCCCACAATGTGACTAGAATAAAGAGCAAGTACAGATATTGAAACCATACAAATATCAAATCAAGATCAACGATGCAAACAGGAACCTAATAAACTATTGTCCTTATCTGAAAGCTCAAAGCCAGTATTTTATAACAGATCTTCCCACACATGGTCTGTCTGTCTATCTATATGTCATCCAATAACACGGCGTATTGTTGAGTCACCACAAGTTATTGTTGATGGTTTCAATAGATGATTCATGGGGCTACGTGGTCTTGAGTATGGTGTCCGCCTCGAGTGCTAGAGGTCCTGGGTTCAAGCCCTGGTGAAGGTTGAGATTGTTTCTGTTTATGTGGACTTCAAGTAATTTCCTCTGGTCTCTGGGTAGTGAGATCGGACGTATGTGTGCATTGTTGCGCACGTAAAAAAAATCCCTTTGCAGTTGGAAATCGAAAAGAGTATCTAGCGGCGCTGCCCGGGTAAAATGTGGAGTTAAAAATCTAGCCAAAATATTTCAGAATGCTTGCCGGTGCTATGGAACGAAACATTGCATCCCACAGGGTGAGGACTGGTAAAACACAATATTACACACTGAGGACTTTATAAACTGTTGTTAAAAGTGATTCAAATTTGCGACAGTGTTAAATAATTATCATTTGTGATGGCGATCACTGTGCTAAATACCAAGGATTGTGTCCCCTTTATATGATCCACGCATCCTTGGAAACCTATATTCTAAACAGGAACAGACATAAAATTGCATCTACTTTGGCCATGATTTTATTGCTTGTGTAAAATTATGTTGCTATTATTATAAATGACAATACTTCACATCGATTTTTCGTTCCTTTTAATCGCACCCACCCACTCTGGACAGTATGTCTTTATCTTCTTCTTCCACTTCCTGATTTTGGTCTTGTCCTATAACTTTTGCGTGCACATCCGTTTTACAGATCTGGACAGTTAGTTCCTAACCGTTCAGTCAGTTGTGTATCCTTATTTTTACTTGACTTTTCAGAATAACTCCGATAATTTTTTTCTCGATATATGGTATTAAAACAAATATTAATATACTGAAACAAAAACTAAAATAATACTTTTAAAAGAAATACTTAAACAAACACTTTTTAAAAAAAAAGTTCATAAATTATAGGGACATCACCTTACCTCCTTTCCAAATTTCGGAATTATGAACCATGTAAGCAACGCCTAAGCCACAGACGCCGACTTTAACAACGAATAAAGAGAGACAGGGACAGAGGGGGAGAGAAAGAGGAAAGAACGGAGAGAGGAGAGAAAGGAGAAAGGGGGAGAGTGCGGTTGTCAGAAAGACAGAAGCAGAAATATACAGAAACAAAAAGAAGAGAGATTGACGCCTCAGATAAGGGACGACACACACATGTACACACACAGAAAGAGAAGGAGGGAAAGAGAGGGAGAGGGGCAGATGTGTTCATCAAAACATGGGAAATTACTAAAGTCCTCAGTATGTGGCAGAATTACTCACCAAGGTAACGGAAAGTCCCGATGACTGTTCCGGAAACTCCTAAAACCCAACCTTTCTGGGAAACAGTCGATTTGTTGATGCACGACTTCCTTAAACTATGTATTTCTAGAAAAGGCTGTTGTTGATGATTCGATGCCCAGAAATTCAATGGTAATATCGCTATGGGGAATGCGTAAATATGTCGCCATAAATTATTTTTCTTTGCTCGTCCTTAGAAGCGCGGGAAGGCCGTTGTGTTTTGGTTAACATTTAAGTTGTGATATCTGAGCCATCACATCCGATTTTAGCAAATCCTCAATCAGCCACCTGTTACGACATGCTTGTTAAGAGTCAGGTGGTCCATTCTTTCACACCCACCGAGGCCCTGGAACTCACTCAAGGAGGTTTTACGGTAAATGATTCACCTGTGTAAATGACATTTGTTATGGAGCTGCCATAGTGTCGTGGCTAGCACATTTGCTTGTTTGCCCAGTGAGTATGTGTGTGAATCATTGAAATGATTTGGCTATTTTCAAAGTCGAACTAGCGTGAACAATTTTTTTTTATGTCAAGATACCAGTTAGCCAGTGCAATTATATACCAACTGACACCGTTGCTAAGACATCCAAACATAAGTATTAGAGCTAAATAACAGATTATAAACAACATCATGTTCACACCAATACTGTGCAACAAGTGCCAGACTTGAACATAATCAAAGGCTAATCTACGTAAAATTAACACCTGTGAAATGATATGCCAGAGGAAAGCCACCAACTTAACTATCCGAAAACAAAACACAAATTGGAAATGTTATTATCGGACAGACTGGGAACAACACCATGCAGCAAATTCATTGAGAAAAAGACGATCAAACGGTTTGGTCAAGAATGCAGCCAGAACAACTACCAATGCAGGCACTAAACATTAAAATATTGTATGTGAAAGCAAAAGGTCGCAGTAGGAGAAGATGGACTGATGACATTAATGATCTTATACATCGACACAAAATGATAACAACCATTGCTGCCCATGAAGCAATGGTTCGCAAACTGTTCCTCCCCATGCAACTTCATGTCTACAAACTATGCAGTTGCAGCCAGTACCAAAGTTGTCAAACAGGCATATTGGGCACTGTTCAAAGACGCAATGCAACAAAAGAATTAAATGTCGGAAAATCGGGTCGAGAGGGTAACCCGTTAAACGCGTTGTTTTAATTTTCCCAATTTCTGACTGACTGACTTTCTACCCCACCAGGACATCACACAAGCGATGAACACCC